TTATTATTATTATTATTATTATTATTATTATTATTATTATTATTATATGTCCAGTAAGCAATTAGCAACCAGGGGAGATATTTCATGTAAACCCTAAAACTTGTACCAGTTGGCAGCCCAACTGCTCTATTTTTCACCATTTGCACCTTCTACACACTATTTAAGGATACCCCCCCCAAAACATGGATGCTTCTATTGCATCAATATACACACTCTCACCTAAAATAAAAAATAGAATATTGTTAACTTACAAACATGTCATGACTAGTGACACATTTAAATAAAAAGCTTTGTTATGTGATATGTACTAATAAATTTCAGTAGACCAGTAGGAATATTTTCAAGATTTGGAAAATACAACACTGAGTAGTAGCCCATAATAATTCATTCTGGCATTTATGCCATGTAGACTAGAATTACAGATTCCTTTTGGATTGTTTGCTGTTTTATATAACAGGCATACCAGGTGTTTTGTATTTCTCTATTTAATTTACCAGTAACTACCCAATATACTATTGTCTTGTTCTTAGTATAGCAAAAACTGACGACAGCAACAACAACAACGATAATTCTGCATGAAGCAAGTCGGTTTGCTATACTGCTACAAACGTCTGAGTCCTACAGCAAGGATCCACGTACCTTTCAACTTTAGATCTACATTATGTCTCAGCCAAGGATAGATTCCATAATTTGAATAATCTTCTGGTATTGGATTATCTCGTAACCATCCTTCACAGGCAAATCGGAAAAAGTTATCACAGGGGTCCACAGACATATTTAGCTTGCTTTTGATGGAGGCAGCTGGAAAAAGTTATATAACTGCATCATTATAACTAACATCATCAGTTGATATTATTAACTACTGTTCAAGGTGTGCAAATCCCCTCCTGATTTCTGATTACTATTTTCCAGCTGTATTTATTCCCATCTCTTCCCCATAATTAACCTCACCATTTAATCTATCCCATCTGACTTGGTTCATACAGGCTACAATCTCCAACTTTCGCAAAAGGAAATGAAATTGAAAGGAAACAAATCTTTCTTAAGTATTGGCCGATCTCACTTCTTCCCTTGATTTTCAAATTGCAGGTTATTCACTAACATTTTGGTGTTCATTCTTCTGGGTGCATTCGGACTTTCTCAATCTGTCTGCAGCTGACCTTGCTAAAATCTCAGGGGATCTTTTAGTTGCCACCTCCAGATGATGCCTCTTCATCTTCCTGTAGCTTCCTGCTATTCCTAATGCTATTGGATGCTCTCTTTTCTTTGGCTCCCTTAATACATTAGCTTTCTTCAGACTGATAATCACATCTGGCCTTTGCGTAGGATCCTAGACCCAAGATAAGGAAGATGTGGGAGTAAGACAAAAACTAGTTAGGACTGCATATACTTGCACTCCTTAGGTTCTCAGGAACAGCACTTTTCAGAAGGGAATACATTATCACATGAAAAGCTTGACAAATGTCAAAGTTTAATCATTTACTTGAAAACTTATTTGCATTGATTTGCTTATGCATTTTAATTTAATTTTTTTCAGAATCATTATTTTGAAAGTTTGAAATCTTGAAATCATTAGTTTAAAGTTTTGTCTAGCTTGGTCTTAAAAATCACTTAGGCAGTCTGTACAATTAAATTCCATCCAGAAGCTGGTATAATAGTTTATCTGCTACTATTCTGAAGCAAAAAGGAGTTTCTCTTAAGTAGAGAAAATACTATTGTGAAGGATATTGGGACAATCTCTCTTAGCACTATGTTTAAATTAAAATTGGGTGTCTTCAGCTTCATCAAAGAAAAAGACAATGGAGGAGCAGAGATTCCCCACATCTTGACTATACATCTTGAGATGTATAAATGGGTATCCTCAGCATATTAATGATACTGAACATCATGCCAACAGGTAACATCCCCCAGCATTTCCATGTAAAAGTTAACAAGGAGTAGAGAAAGGAGAGATTCTTGAGGCACTCCACAAAATAGACCTCTCCAAGCAGATCTGGATCCAAAATGTCCAAAACAGTTGGATCAAGTGAAGGTTTCTTGAACACCTTACCCCCCAGTCTCCTTCAGTGGTCACAGAAACACCCCCTTGGTCAAAGAAGTGTCGATTACCACTTGAATTCAACCTCCGCCTGCATTATGGAAGGCCTTAACCAGCCATGAAGTGCACCAACTGAGAAGTGGCAAAATTAACGCTGCAGAGAACTCCATCTGTTTGTTTGGGACTCATAGCCTCAAAATGATCCCGAATCATTTCACAAGATGAGGCCCTACTTATGTCCATGGGCTCCGTCAAGCTGAAATCCATCTCCTCCTGATCTGAGCAGTTTTGTATGCCAAATGAGGTAAGAATTCTTCACAGCAGCCTTTCAGATGGTTTGGGTGAACATCCTTCCCTAGAAGGAGGTGGGCCACCTTAAAAAGGATTTCTGGGTGGCATTCAGCAGATGTAAAAGGATGGCAAAACAGATCCTTTTTACTATTTGGACTGCCACTGTCTAGGTTCAGACATGAGCTCGTACTAGCATCTCATTAGACTGCAGATGGGTCTTCTGCAGGACTCCATTTGGACTGCAACTGCTGTTCTGTTCATCTGTAGTTCAAAGGAACTAATTTTATGAAATAAGGCAATGCCAGTGGAATTCCTAGAGCATTTGGACAGGCTACTTTGGGGAAACAATATATTGAAGTATTAACTCCCATCATTTCTCTCTATTATGCTGACTATAGATGATGAGAGTCCAAACATATCTAAAGACTCAAAAATGTCTAGTCAGGCTTAAAAAGACCTTGGTCCTGATCCAATAGAGCTATACTAATATTTTTAGAAAAGCAACTACAGCTAAGTTATCAATGGCTAAAATGTTTTTCAGTTTATTACAGGTTTCTGAGATCCATAAAAAAAGAGTTTACATCTCTTCATACCAATATGCTTTATCCAAGTGAAAACAAAGGTAATACTTCACTTACCAGCTTCAATGCATTCAGAAGTCAAGCAATATTGTTGCTTTGCATGAAATTTGATATGTCCTTGACTAACTGCAAAAGAAAAAGAACATTGTGACCATCTTTGGCCCAACAAATATATTTCTTTGATCTAAAGACATGAGTTGAGTGATTACGGCAGTGCTGGCATGGATATAAAATGCAAAGGATGTCCTTTGTTGATATAATGCCTTCCTCAAAGCAGAACATATTTTTGTATATAAACAACCACTTGTTCGCTCATCACACCAGTTTGACTCAGAAACAAACCAGTGATCCTTTTTATTACTAGCAAGTATGTAAATGATATAGTAGCCACATAGCACAACTAATTGTCATCAAATATTTTTATCTTTAGCAGCAACTACACAACCAAATATATTGATTTATACATTCATTACACTTATGTTACAACTTTACTTTCATCTTCCCTGGGAGATAGGTTAGGGTGGGACAGAGAGTCCATGGTTGAATAGGGGTTTTAACTTGATCTCCATCCTTATCCTAACCACCATACGATACTGGAATCAGTCCAGGATTAATTTGCTAATCAACACAGCACCAAAATATTTACTTGTGATTTGTATCCTTCTCCCACAAAGAGAAGAGAATGATTAAGACATCAGGAAGAAACAGAAACAGTTATATTGAACATTCTCGTTGACTGCAGGTAAAATTAGGAGTGGAGGATTTGGGTATGTTACTCTTACTTAGCCCAACCAGCTTGCTCTTGGAAAATGGTGCTTCATGACTATCGTATCCACTACAGCAAAATTTTGTGAGATTTCCAAAATTCCAAATGCCCCAAACTCAATGTTTGGGGAAATCTATACTTGCCTAACTCTGGAAATGCTGAAAGTGTCTTCTGTGTTGACAAAAATGTCATAGGGCAGAATAAACAGGATGAGGGAGGAGAAGAAGAGAGGAGAAACTAGATTAATCTTTGCAGATCAACAAACCCTTTGGGAACCCTCAAGAACCTCTTTCATCTTTTGAAAGGGCAGTCAATGCTTCTGATTTTTTAAATCCTTCCCATTTCTGTAACTTGACAGTACCTTTCCTTATCCTGAGTCCCTTCAAATGTTTCAGTATGATCCATGGGATGTAGCTTCATGATACATAGAGAAAAAGATTGCCTTTTCTTGCTCCAGGCTAACCGTAAAACTCAAGGTTTTATATAGTCCTTATTGTGTATATCTGCCAGCATTCTTCATCCAGAAGGAATGATAAAACAAGTGACTTATTGTCATGAGGTAAGCTTCTACCCCTTTTGCCTGTGTATCATGACAATGTGCTTAGACCACATATCCTCAGCCAACAAGTCCATACATCTGAAGTAATAGTTTGGGAAAGCTGATTTGTACTTATTCCAGTAAAAGTTATTGATGGGGAAGAAATTTGTCCTGTTAAGTGGCTAGATCCCCTGTTCAAATCTCTTTCAGTCCTACTGTTCCATGAATATGTAGGATCAATATCATTTCCTAAGTAAAATAGCTTCATTATTATTTTGCAACAAGCATCTTGTTTTGATAGTACTATCATGTGGAATTTCTATGCTATAAATTTTATCAGATTTTGTATTGATTTAATAGTTGTGACTAGCTAAAAGCACAAGACATCTGGAGGGCACCTGACTGGGGAAAGAATGGAACTTCTCTATGTTGCTCATTTAGTAAATGGACACTGACAATGAATCCCATTTATATATTTCAGCACAGGTTATGCCCAATCATATCCAGATGTTTGGGAAGGAATCATATTTCAGCTGCTTTAGTTTCAGTGGAACTAATGAAGAGAGAAACTCTGTTCCCTTCTTAACAAAGATTTCATGATTCATTTGGTAATCTTTAGTTTTAACTGTTCAAAAACATGGATATGAATGCACTGTCCAAATTTATACAATATCTTGGTGTACACCTAAGTTTATTTCTTGGATGTACACAGTGGGGCTTACCATGCACAGAGATGCATAGAAATGCTTTATTGTTTAACCAAATCAGATGGAATAAGAAATCTCAGTAGATCCACGGAGATTATGAATGCAACTCGACCTTTGAAAGACCGTATATTTATTTTTACATGGAAGCTACATGTTAATTGTCAATAGTCTGGGGAAACAATGACTTGTTTGCTTTTTAATTCCAAAGTAACCTTCACAATTTTTGAATAAAGAAATTTCCTCCTTTTTTAATTAATACTGTTATCAGTTTGTATCACTGGATAAAGATGCTATGATTAATATCGCTACTGCTTTGTTATTGATTAAGAATTTATTCAGGTTTTTAACTGTAACTTTATAAAATGCATTGGTGGGTGTATACTCTGGATACTTCCTAGTTAAAAGGTGAGTAGCAAAGAAAAAAGAAAAAAAGAATGAATGAATAATCCCAGTATTTGTTCAAAGAAATAATAATAACAGTTAACCAAATCTTATGTTGCAACCACTGTAGAATCCTAGAGAAGAAAAATAAATCTCAGGACCTTTCAGACCTCTGATGCAGTCTTTAACCTGGAGCCAGGATTCTCCACCAGTAAAACTACCGTCATTCTTCCAGCGAAGGGCCCTTACAATGTGATTAACAGAGTTAACTAAAGATTCCAATGGCAATACCACTGCAGACAGACTTTTGCAAAATTGCATTTATGCTAGCACAACAGATTGAAACTTACCCAGGAAAAGGGCAATGCCAAGCGCGACTGTGCTGCTCACAAACACACCGAGGGACAGCTGGAGAAGTTTGCTGGCTGCTCTCTTGTTGGCTGGCATCGAGCTCCCTGTTGTCTCTCCTTCCATCAGGATGGATTTGTACAACTCTCTGAAAGAAATCTGTTTTTCGTTCTGCTGCTGTTTGTTTCTTTTCACTTATGGAGAAGTCCCATCCCTGAATGCCTTCTTCAAGTCTCTGATATTTATCATTGAGTTATTTAGCAGCTAATGCTGCTGTCAAGACCCATTTCCAAATCTTTAACTGATCCCAAAGGGGGGGCTGGGGGGTGGAGAAATGACATAAAATGCAGTATTAAGTTTCTTCCCTGATCAGGACTTGGAAAGAGACAAAGTGACAATTTAATTTATAGCTCTTGCTCTTTGTAAGCAGGCCACTTTTTATCAGCAGTTCAGGACAGAAAAATTTCACAATGATGTCCCAATGTTTGGTTTCACGATTCAAACTTATAGTTAAAAAGGAAAAAATGCTTTCCAATCAAAAACTAGATTCTGATAAGGTTTTGCAGACCTTACATTGACAAGAGTGTTTTCTTCTCCTTGTTAAGCAACTTAATTATTTGCTGAATCTCATTCATTTTCACTCTAGCTGCTGCACCATTTCCCTTTACAGAATAAATCTTCTCCAACTACAACTCCTTTTTAAAGCTCCAAGGAGTTCCTGGGATGTCTTACACTGTTTTTATTTTAGGAGGCTGTTTACGACATCAAGTGCCAAAGATCAGAGTCATGCTTATGTTGAAGGCAAAGTTGTTATTAAAACAACCTACAGATGGGATTTTTTTTAAGGAAAAAAAAAATGAACAAGTTATTTTTCAGTGTCTGTGGAGTTTCTGAAGGTTCTATCCAAACATTGTGCTTTATTCTGAAGAGTAAAGCTGCAATAAGCTGCTTTTATGAAGACAGCAAAGATGAAATATATTAAGTAATTGTGTGGTTTCTGGTTGAAGGCTGATATGCTACAAAAGTAGAGTTTGCACTTCCCAAAGTTATAGCTGGGAGCAATTCATTTAGAACAGATTCAAAGAAGCATGATTAAAACTTGAAAATGACAGACTGAGGACAAGAAAGTCACTTTCTCCTATTAATGGTCACACTTAAAATATCCATTGGTTTTAACTGTGGCTGCAGAGCAGAAATCAATACACGGGATGAGGCTTTAATCCCCCATTCTTCTCCCATGCTAGTCCCAGCAATCCTCATTCATACCCACTCAGATGCTGCTACTAGCTATGAGAACAGACGCGTAATTGGTAGCAATAAGTTCACTCCTGTTGGATGATTTTCTAAATAAAGAGAGACTAGGCAAGTCTTCCTCATGAGATATGCTGGCACAACTCTCCAGTTTAGCTGAGAGGTGCTACGTGGGATTCTAGATGTCACCTAATTTGATTTGTCCACTAATTACTTGTCTGTGAAAAGAAAACTATAGCAACTATATAGTGAGATAATTACAATCTGAGGAAGCTTGGAGTTATTTTCTATACAGTATTATATTATACATTTTATTGTTGTTGGTTCCTTGTATTTTCGGCTGCTGCTAGAGTTATTGTAGGGCAAAGTATGTTTGTTCTTAACTGCCTTGAGTGCTTCAAAGGAAATATATGGATTTAATTTTTAAAAAAAACAAGTACACAAATCTTATCTATTCCAAGGCTGAAGCTTGGCATTGAGAGAAGGTTGCAGAATTCAGCATGAATTCAGAACGAAAACCTGTTTATGACAAAATCCAGTGCTACCATCCTTCGGTCCTAGAGCTTTTAACAAGAAATTGTGTGGGGAGGGAGGGAAGATTCTTTTTAAAACATTCATTGCTGCCAAGCAAATTGCTTTGCCGTGTCTCATCACTGAAGTTTTGACCTTGGATTTCATACCAGCTCTATTCCCATTGCAGAAACTACTATCGCTTTGCCTTTCTGCTCTGTTCCTTTTTTGTATTTACTGCAAATTTACTTTTTACATTTATTGTAAATCTGCCAGTAGCTCTCAGTAAAATTGCTTTGCTTTCACATCTTCTGAAAATTCAAGTGTTGGATCTAAAAAGTATAAAAGTGAAAGATGATCCTTCTCTGAGGGCAAGGCACAGACACTGTCTGCTATTGAATTTGTTTGGACCAAAAGCCATCCTTCTACTGCCATTAGACATTATGGTATCTATTGTGTTTCATAAGGTATACATCTATCCATTGGATTTCATAAGGTACACATATCACCTCATGGCTTGACTATTGCAACTCTCTACATCAGGGTTCCTCAACCTCAGCAACTTTAAGATGGTTGAGGAATTCTGGGAGTTGAAGTCCACCCATCTTAAAGTTGGTGAGGTTGAGGAACCCTGCTCTACATGGGATCACTGGGAAGCTTCAACTGGTCGAGAATGTAGCAGTGCGGACAGCGATGGGCATGCTTATATGACACCTCTCCTGTGCAAGCTGCATTGGCTACCAGTTTGCTTCTGGGTGCAATTCAAAGCACTGGTTATGACATATAAATTCCTATATGGCATAGTGGCCAGTTATATGAGGGACTGTCTTTCTCTTTTGGTGTCTGTGTGGCTAATATGAGCTGACTGGGTTCAGGCACTTAAGGTTTCTTCAATTAAAAAATGTCATATTTCAGGACCCAGGAAGCTCACATTCTCTGTCATGGCACCTGCTCTCTGGAATGAGGTTCTCCCTGAAATCCAGATGGCTGTTTTCCCAGGCTTTCAGCTAGGGTGTCTGGAGTCCCTTGTGAGTTCTGTTGTTGGCCAGACTCTCCATCTTGTTCTCTATTTTTTTACCTTATCTGTTTTTGTGGGCTTTGTTTTTTGAATCATGTTGTGTTTTTGTTATTATTACATTGTGAGCCACCCAAAGTCATTCAGAGTTGAGCAGCACCTAAATTGAATAAATTAAATATTCTTCTCATGCTGGCTGTTAAGAGTTATCCTTGTACATGCTGTTGTACTTGTGAATACTATTCTTTGACCCCTTAGTTGCCCAGTAAATCAGGATCAATTGAAGTGATTCTGTCACCTGAAGTAAGAACAAGATTCCTTGCTTTCATCATTACTCTGTTCTGGCTGCTCCATCTTCTGAACCCCCTCCCTCCCTATTAGCAGCAGTGAATCCATTCTTTCTACTATGGACAAGTTGACTGGCAACAAGTGATGTCTCTGAGGTGAGGACACACTCTCACAGGGAACCCCACTGAGAACTTCTCAAAGTATCACATAAAGAATGCTGGCCATTAACTACAATGTAGTCTCTTAAGAATCTCATGCTTTAGGTACCATGTTGGGAGAGGAGGGGAAAGCAGGGAATAGGGGCTGATATTAATTCACCCCTCATTCCAGGCACTGTCCGAAGTGAATATTCATTGTTCCTAATTGTAGGGTAGTCCTGCTGTAGGGCAGTCCTAAACACAGATACCTTTAAGTCCCAAGTGCTTCAGAAATATTAAATACTTGATGGAGGTTTGTTTAGACGAGTCAACTTAATGACTGAGACTTATTGGCTTAATGACTGAGACTGAGAGATGCTACATTCACATAGGTATTTCCAGTATTATCACAGACAAGCCTAACAATCTATCAGTTTTGCTGTTTGGGCCCATTATGTCAATAGCTTTCTCTCCAGATGAAAGACAAGTTTTTAATATAAAATAAATGTGCTGAACCTGCTATTGCAATTAGCAATTCCTAACAGCTTCTTAAAAGTATTCTTAAATTATGTGAGAATTAGTTTCTTAATGGAATGCCAAGAAAGGACTTAATGTTACTGCCAGATATTTTCTGCTAAGAACAGTACAAACATTCATATATTGTTAGTTTTAGGCAGCACAATTTTTCCCAAATTAACTTATTTGTGTAATTCACAAACAAAATATAATATACCACTGGGAACATATGTGTAACTGGAGTATTCAAAGTATTCTTCCAGGTATTTGTACAAAAAGTTTAATAACAGTGCAGGATACAAGAAAACCATTTGCTCCTCATGTACCAAAGACAGTCACTAACATTCTATCAGTTGTTAACTATCCACATGAGCATAAGGAATAAGTTCTGTATATTGGCTGGAGGGTGAATATGCTGGATAATTAGGCAAAATATTTATTCAATATAAAGTATAAAACAGTTTATGTTCCTAATTCCATGAGCAGTTTTACTTGTAATTTAGGACTTGTTATTCATTCATTCAGCTTTTATCCTGCCAGAGTTCCATGACTCTCAGCAGTTGCAACATCACCAGAATTAAAAGCAACAAAGAATCCAAATCACACAACCGAAACCAAAGCATGACAGAAAAATAAGACCAACAACAGGTGCATAGTATATTACTGAAAAGCTCTTCCAAGTAGTTCAATTTTTAATAACTCCCCAAAAGCTGTCAGGAAGCAGCCAGTCTGATCTCAGTCTGGGGGTAGTCATTCTTCAGCCTCACAGGTCCCTTGAGGAAGTGGATTGATTATCTGGACCCATTTCAGCCAGGTTTCAGGCCAGGGTTTAGTGTTGACAGCATTTAGTATGCTTGGTGATGACCTGGGGCAGAACCAAAGCAGGAATGCTGCATCCCTCCTTGTGCTCCTTGATCTCTTAGCAGCTTTTGATATGATTGACCACAGTATCTCTTTGGACTAGCTTTGGGCGTTGGGAGGCACTGTTTTGCAGTGGTTCTCCTCCTTTCTCTGCTGCAAGGTTCAGTCCACATTGACAGGTGGAGAGATCTCACCTATAGCTCCTCACCTGTGAGGTACCACAGAGGTCAACACTCCCCCCCCTTAACATCTACATAAAACTGCTGGGTGAGGCCATCTGCCGGCTGGGGGTCAGGTATCATCAATATGTGGATGGTCCCTGGTTGTGTATCTCGACTGCTGGTGAGTGATACGGACCCAGGAAACAGACCTGGAGAACAACTGTGGGGATATGGTGATTATGGAGCCCCCTTTTGTCCTTTTCCGTGTTTTGCTTTGTTTTGTTGATTTGCCTTGGGAGTCAGGTGGTCTATAAATTGAGTAACCAAGAGCCCCTCCCAAACCCAGATCTGATTGGAGAAGGTGGCCCTGGTGGTACCCTGGTGCCAAGCCATGAAGAGCTTTAGAAGTTAGCAGTAGCAGTTTAAATTGTGTTCAGAACAGAATCAGCAAGCAGTGCGTGCTTGTTTTTTAAAGACTGTTGTATCAGGAACACCACCCCCCACCCCAAAACCGAGCTGTAGGTTATAGCACAAAGCTCTATCTGCTTAGTCACAACAGATACTATGCAAAAGAAAAAAGTGAAAATCATAGCAAGTACTGTATTGCACATTAAAACATAAAAAATATAAGGACTAATTTTTTGAAACTTAAAAAGATGCATATAGGCATGTAAGAGGAAAAACAAGCACACAGATGCAATGTGGAACGATTTACAAAAAATATTAGTTTTCACAGTATACTTCAAGAATATTCATTTCAGTTTGTTAAATGATGTGAAGTTTCTTCTCAAAGTATCAAATATCAGAAGAACACACACTGAAAAATTTGACACTTCCAGTGGTGCATCCTGGAAATTTCTTAATGACTATGGCTGGGTTCATGTATGGTGCTAAACCATCATGTAATT